AGATGGAATTCCTATTACTCAAAGTGGATTTTGCTCATGCTTATGACAATGTATGTTGGGATTTCTTGAGGTACATGCTCAATAGAATGGGATTTGGCAAGAAATGGATTGCTTGAATGGAAGGAGGTGTCTTTAATAGCAACATGTCCATATTAATCAATGGAAGCCCAACCAAAGATTTTGATACTTCAAGGGGACTGAGACAAGGTGATCCACTTTCACCATTTCTTTTTGCCATTGTTGCTGAAGGGCTAACATGTATAACAAGGAAGGCTACACCCACCAATCTGCTAAGAGAATTCAAGATGCAGACAAACATGGAAGTAATCTCTTTTGGTCTTTTGTAATTTGCAGATGACACAATCATTATTGATGATGGATCTTGGAGCAACTTATGGGCCATTAAGTTCACACTGAGAGCTTTTCAGCTAGTGTCCGTCTTAAGAGTCAATATGAACAAGAGCAAAATTTATGGCATTGGTATTTCTCCTCTCTTTTTGCAGGAAGCCTCTAACTTCTTATTTTGCAGCATAAACAACATTCCCTTCAAATTTTTAGGGATCATGGTGGGCACCAATCCAAGAAGAATTAAAGCTTGGAAGCAAGTTATTTCTAACTTGAAGAACAAGCTATCATGTTAGAAGAGTAGATTCATATCCATGGGATGGAGAATAACATTATTAAATGTTGTGCTAAATAATCTACCTATTCATCACATCTCATTTTACAAGATGCCTGATAAGGTAAGGCGAGAAGTCATTAGAATACAAAGACAATTTCTATGGGTGGGCTTGAAGGAAGGCAAGGGAGTGAATTGGATAAATTTGCAGATAGTGTGCAAATTAAAATCTGATGGAGGTCTTTGGGTCAAAGACATTACCAGATTTAATGAGGCACTATTATGTAAGTAGATATGAAGAATCTTAAATGATAAGGAAGCTATATGGGGTGGTATGATTCATCTCATATATGAAGACTTAATAAGGAGCATGTGACTTGATGAAAATAAACAACATCCCTCTAAGCAACCTATTTGGTGGAGGGACCTCAATGACATTAAACTAGCATGAAAAACTTTAACATTGACGAAATTGGAATTAAACACATGGCTAAATTAAAACTTGGCAATGGTGTCTCAACTCCCTTTTGGAAAGGGATCTAGCTTGGTTCAATGCCTTTAGAAGACATCTTTCCACTTTTATACTGTCACACTGCTAACACTAAGGCCATGGTCAGTGACATGGGGGATTGGCTTCAAGGATCATGACAGTGGAAGTCTTATGAAGGTCTGAACATTGTAGATTAAACAACTGCAAATGAGCTAATGCACTTAAACTCATTACTGACAGATTTTTATCCTAGTAGCATAGAGGAAGATCAAATCTTTTGGGTGGCTGCTCCCTCTAACCATTTTTCTGTCAAAAGCTGCTATGATTGTTTAAGGGTCCATGGAATGACTACGAATAGAGTTACCACATTGAATCCTATGTGGAGGAGGCTATGGAAGATGAAATTTTCATCCAAAGTCAAGAATTTTTGTTGGAGAATGCTACACAATAGACTTCCAACTAGGTAACAACTTTTCAAGAGGAAGGTCATCCAAGATCCTACTTTGGTGAATTTTGTGTTTTGCAAAGTTGAAGAAGAAACATTGGATTATGTCATGCTACATTGTGCTTTTACTCAGAAATTTTAGAAGCTGTTTTGGGATTGAATTGGATTGGAGAAACACACTTCCATTGACTGCACCATGGACTTTTGCCAAGCTTTAGGAATATTCAAAGACATAGTTGGAAAATACATTGAAGGTTTTTTATGGATGATAACTTGTTGTTGCATTTGGTGCAAGCGGAACGCCATGATTTTCAAAGAAAACTCATTTCATGCTAAGGACATCGAATTCAACATTAAATTCATCTCTTGAATTTGGCTAAGTCTTCTTCAAAAATCATGTTGTTGTAACTTTTATGAGTGGTGCAAAGCTTCATTGAATTTCCTAAATCACTAACACATTGCTCGTTTAGAATTGAATGATTTTGTACTATCAATCATCTTTATAGGCTATGATGACTTCATTATAATGTTGGTTGTTTGAATATTCTTCACACTCTATTATAATGAATACTTTTTGCTAAAAAAAAGAAAACTCATCTTTTTTGTTGAAATAATATATTTTGTTGAAAGAAGACAATATCACACTAGTCTATGAAAATACAATAACTTTGAAATATTTAATATTTTGATATTCCTACAAAAGTATATTATATATTTTAATATTTTGGAGATTAAAAAAAGAAAGTTTGATATGCTTGAATTATAACCTAAGAAAATACTTCCAAGTTAAGAAATAAGATGTAAATATTAGTAATATTCATTGCAATATTATTTCATTTCATTTTCTTTGAATTAGAATACAAGAGTCATAACTGCAAGATTTCAAAAATCATAAAAAGAAAATTCAATATTAAAGTTTACTTCCGATACTCAAAGAACATGTGGCATCATATGCGACATTGACATATGAAATCAACACACCTCATACCACATCCAGGACCACACATAAATATTTGACAATCAGAATCAGTAATACATCCCTCAAATGCTGTAATCAAACATTATAAGTTAGTGTTGTTAAAATTGAACAAAAGACTGTGTGCAAACAAATAAATAAAGAAGAAAATAACTTACCCTCAACATTAGTTGCAACCATAAATGAGAAAAGAAATAGAAACACAATGTAATTAAACTTGAAAATTGCTACCATATTTTTCTCTTTTTTGAATTATGAAATAGAATCAAATTTGGTTACTTTATAATGTGTAAAGTTAGGGTTCTCATAATAAAATTAAAAACAAAATTAGAACTTAAGGAGCTGTAAGAAACCATTTACAAAATTAAAATCAATGTTTAATGTCTCTTAACTAAATCAATATGTTATGTTACTCCTTAAGCATGCTTAGTAAGGAGGTCATATAAAATATTATCAAATCATAAGAGTTTATAATTTTCAACCAACTTTTAGTTATTCTTTTAGCCATAAATAATATGAAGGTGAAAAGAAATTGTTGGATCATAGCTAATTTATATGTAGAAGTGATGCACCAATGTAATGAAAACATATTTATGTGCAACTTCAATATACTGTATGATCGGTGCTTCTTCATAAATATGTTTAATCAAAGTGAATGTCTATCCAACTTAATGTCTATCAAGAATTAAAACAATAAAAAAAAAACAATTACCACCCAATTTAATGGTTATATTAAGGACCATTAAAACCATAGAAAACTTAGAAAACTTAGACTCTTTACAAACTAAAATCCCACTATCTATTTACCACTTTAAAATTGATTTTTACTAATGATTATTTACTTCCTCATGAAACAAATATGTGAATCATATATATATATATATATATATATATATATATATATATATATATATATATATATATATATATATATATATATATATATATATATATATATATATATATATATATATATATATATATATATATATATATATATATATATATATATATATATATATATATATATATATATATATATATATATATATATATATATATATATATATATATGAGAGCATATCAAATGAGAGTAATTTTAAATGAGAGATGAGAGGAACAAACAACAATCATTAGATTATGATTAGACTTATTCATTAATGTGACTATTAATTTCTCTCATTAACTTGCATTTCATATCTCTTATTAATTTGATCTAATGGTTGTTATTTGTTTCTCTCATATCTCATTTGATATATATATATATATATATATATATATATATATATATATATATATATATATATATATATATATATATATATATATATATATATATATATATATATATATATATATATATATATATATATATATATATATATATATATATATATATATATATATATATATATATATATATATATATATATATATATATATATATATATATATATATATATATATATATATATATATATATATATATATATATATATATATGATGCACCAATGTAATAAAAACATATTTATGTACAACTTCAATATATTGTATGATAGGTGTTTCTTCATAAATATATTTAATCAAAGTGAATGTCTATCCAACTTTTCAATTGCATGATTTGTTATAGTTTCTCATATCCCACGATTCTATAATTTTTATACAAAATTGTTAAAACAAAAGAATCATTGTATTTAGTTTCACATGTTAGAATTTTGAGTCACAAATGTAATATTTATGATATTTCTTTTTAACAGGTAATAAAATTTCAAAAAGCACAAAGGGTGCTTGAACCCGATACAAAAAGCGGGAATATTACTTCCGCTCAATACATTTTAAAGGAGAATATCAGTCATAAAACTGACGCTTAGGAAAAACGTCGCCCCCAAAACACCAAATTATTCCTTCATATCCAAGAAGACCACATTGTTGCTTCCCATATGAACAGACACATATCAAAACCAATTTTTTTGCTAGAAGACTTAATAAATTTAACAAAAGAATCCAGGCAAGGAAACCCTGCATCGACTTGAATTCCACACCATCTTGATAATCCTTTCCAAACTAAATTTGAAAATGAGCAAGACAAGAAGAAATTATGAGTAACTTCATTAAAATCCCCACAAACTCTAGACATGACAGAGTCCTCAACATTTCCAACATTTCTTTTTGCTAGCTGGTCCATAGTAGCCAAACGATTCTTAAAAAGCCTCCACATGAACACCTGAATTCTCAATGAAAGTTTCGCATCCCACACTGCCTTTAACCCCTCCAACAGTAATGGTGCTTCCTCGATCACAGTCCTCTCTGACACAATCAGATCATAACAAGATGAAACAGAAAAAATAGATGACGAACCAACTGAAGCTATCACACTTCTCCGGCCTCTGAGCAACATTCTGCAAAAGATCTAGAAGATCCTCATACTCTCTATCCAAAACAGAACCTGCAGAGAAATTAAGGCTTAAGTTATTCCAACTCCATCCGGCCACACCCCCAATTACCCATTTCAGCAACAGAACAACACGAATTCGAACAAAAAATGAAGAGGTTAGGGAATAAACCCTTCAAAGGACATTTAAGAGCCCACTTACAGTGCCAAAAAGCAAGATATTTATCGTTGCAAAGAATACAGTTCAAGCCGTTGACAAAGAGATCATTTGACGTGGCCTTGTTATACAAAATTAAAGACAAGTCTCGCCACCAAATTGAACCATTCTTATTAGACATTTTTCCTTCATACCCCATAACTACCAACACCAAACTAGAGATAGAATATTTCTGGTCGATGATTGGTTTCCAAATGGCCTCCTTCTCTGACAAAAACCTCCACTTCCACTTTAGTAATAGATCCTCGTTGAATGCTGCTAAATCCTTAACCCTTAACCCACCCTTAGCCATAGGTCTACAAACTATTTCCCAGTTCACCCAATGAATAACCTTATGGCTTGTAGTGTAACACCCCATTTAAATTATTCAGTCGCTTTGGTATTTTCTGTGATGTGTAGTTGTGTGGTGTCCTTAATTAAGGGTATGAGGTTAGGAGTAAGGGAGAGAGGTGACCTTAATTGGGGTATTGTGGACCTAGACAAATGAGTAAGTTAATTATGATATCGAGAGCATTATAGTGATTAATATTATTCCAACTATTATTAATAATAATGTTAATAAGATTATTATTATTATTATTATTATTATTATTATTATTATTATTCGTATTAATAATATTATTTGGTGAAATATTATTATTATTCATATTATTACTATTAGTATGAATATTATTATTAGTGGGAGAATAATATTATTATTATTATTATTATTATTATTATTATTATTATTATTATTATTATTATTATTATAGGATTTAAATAATAAAATAAGAAATAAGGGATTAAAGGAAATAGAGAAGTTTTTTTGGGGAAAGAGAATTAGAATACGATAAACTGCCGGAGAAAGGTTTTGGGAGAAAAAGAGAAACTGACGAACAAGGAGAGTTAGGGCAGAGGAACCAAATTCTCCATTGTTGATCAAGGAAAAGCTCAATTCTAAGGTAAGGGGGGAGAATGAATTTCAATATGGGTGAATTAACATGAGAGGGTAGTGAGAGGTCCTTTCTCTCATAGGAATTATGTGTTCTTGAGGATTCTTGATCTAATTTTCGTAGCATGATAAATTCCATAAAATTGTTGTTGTTCTTGAATGATTATTGTATGGGGAGTATTGTTTTTCATAGTTTTCTATGTATACCTTTCGGTATGTTGTGGTGATGTAAGGTTTAGGAATTTGGGCAAATATGTAGAAATGAATGCGTTATATCGTTATTAGTACGATGCTATAAGGTTTCCCTAAGGTTTAGGGATTTGGGTTAATTGTGGGAAATAGGGAGGTAACCGTAAGAATCTGAGGTTATGGCCAAATGGCCAAATGATATGTATCGTTGAATATTAATATGTGCTTGTAGGGAAAAACTTATTGGAAATTGAACCTTCGTGCCCAGAACCTTAATATTGTTATATGTCTGACCCTGAAGGGATTGAATATTAGATAGTGAGTAATTTTAATGTCGTAGAGTGTAATTGAAGGAAACATTGTAATATGTTGTCCTATAGGAATAGGAATATTCAAATGTGGGTAACCCCTGAAGTACTTAGAGCAATTGCAGGAAATAGTGTTTTATGTGTTGCAAAGGTTGCCAGATGAGCATAATAAACCATAGAAGTTGTGTCGTTATTGCCGTATAACCTTAGGAATGTTTTAGTGATGTTTTGGGTGCTTTGAGTAAGTGATTCGCAAGAATAATTGAGTGAAAACCAGTTCCGGAGCGTAACAGCGTCTTTCTGTCCGTCACGAATGTTCATGTTTTCGGTGGAAATTGTTTTGGACGTAACTTTGGATCCGTAAGTCCGTTTTGACCCCCGTTCGAAGCGTTGGAAAGCTAATGAACAGAGCTATAACATAGGATAGATAATGGAATTGTTTTCCCAATATTTTTATATCTAATTATGTTTGAGAAGTCAATTATGTATATGTTTTAATAACGAATCATGTTCTAGTTCAATGATGTCTTGGTGTTTTGATAGATGTGGGCCAAGATGATCGAATGTGGACAATCTTATGCGATTGTGGTAATTCCCGAGAGGATTACGGTGAGCGGATGGCTTTTGTGGATCAAGATTGATCGTGAATTATGCATGATGTATTACATTGCATAATTGTGTTGACATGCATTTCATATCATGTGTCTTGTGGAGATGGCTAGGTGGGAATCCATGATGGGTGCCTAGTTTCATCCGGACTTCATTGTGGAAGTTGTTGTGGAGATAAGTTGTAGTTTAGAGGAACGTATATACGACTTATCCGGATTCCGACGAAAATCAGGTTCTAGTGTGAACCGTATGAGATTGTGTTGGTACCACATGCATTGTGTCGAGTCAGTGAGTCGCATTGCATTATTGTAATTGAATGTGGGCTATTAGTGCCGAATGATTGAGGTGGCACGTGTATGTGCGTTAATTATGTATGATTTTATGTATGGTGTGTAACTACTCCTTAGCATGTGTATTTCACTGTTTATTTATTGAATGTAGTTCTCACCCCTTTTTGTTGTTGTGTCTGTGCTCTCTTGGGAGTACAGGTGACCAGGTACCTGAGTAGTGCTTGGAGTGTGTTGCTATTTGATTGAGTCTTAGGAGTCTCTCTGATACGTAACATGGGATGACGGGATTTCGTTGTTATTTGACTACTTTATTTGTTTATTGTTACGTATCTTCATTTATTGGACTTATGTTGTATGACCTCGTGTCGAGGAGAATTATATTGGAGAATTGATTTGTATTCCGCTGCTTACTTGAAAACTAAATAATATTGATTATTTTAATAAAATGAAGTGACTTAGTGTGATATCCCACTGTGTTGGAGAACTCTGATGAATTTCATGAATTGTTTCTATATATTTATTATATTACGCGTACGGGGTAAAATGGGGTGTTACATGTAGTACCTCCCCATAAGAAATCACTTTGAATTCTTTGAAATATTTTAATAACTGCAGCAGGTGCTTTGTAGAACGATAGGAGTAGATAGAAAGTGCATTCAATACAGAGTTAATCAGAACTATACGCCCTCCTACGTACAAGTTCTTCCCTTTTCAAATCGAAAGTCTTTTGCGAGCGTGTTCGATAAATGAATCCAAAAACCTATCTTCCTAGGACTTCCTCCAACCATAATCCCTAAAAACTTAAAGGGAAGCTTCACAATATCACAATGAAGAAACGTAGATGTTGCCACCAGATAATCCTGACTCACGTTAATACCACCTACGTAACTATTTAGAAAGTTAACCTTCAGCCCCGATACAAGCTCGAACCCTCTCAGAATAGCCTTTATACACCATATATTATCCTAATCTCCCTCACCTATCAATAGTGTATCATCTGCGAACTGAACAATATTGTACGAAGTCCTATCGTTAATCTTGAAACCCTTAAATAGACCCATGTTAACAGCATTATGCACAACCTGAGTTAACCCTTCCATAACAAGGATAAACAAGAACGAAGACAATATGCCTCCTTGTCGTAATCCTTTTCCCATATTGAAATCTTTAGTAGTGCTTCCATTGATAAGAATTGACATCGACCCGCTAAAGACAAGTTTTTCCATCCACCTTTTCCACCTAGTGTAGCACCCTAATTTTTGACCTTAAGATCCCACCTCCTTGTGTATTTTCTTGCATATCATCTAAGTCAGTCATTCATGCATAGCTAACCGTTCTAACCAGTTTATTTGCTTTGTTTTGTGAAGTCAGGTTTATTGCAAAAGATTCAAGGCCTGATGAAAAATTCTCTTCAAGACATATCAGAGCATTCCCAAAGGAAGATTAAGTTTTCTCGTTCGTTGACTCGGGGCGTGGTTATTTAAGGGCATGATGTACTGCACAGTTATCGACTAGTTTGTGTACTTTGTTTTCAAGAAAGGATGAAGGAATGATCTTCGTGGTATGGATTAAGATTCCCCCTGTCTAGAGCGTCTTTGTTTTTGGATTTATGATTGATTTGAAGAATCAAGTCTGGTACTGTTCCTATCTAAGAAGTTAAATTATTATAGCTACTTGATCTCAAGAGAAGGGATTGGAATTTTCTTCTTTGGGAATATCGTGAGTTAGCATGTTTTGAATAAGAATTTTGGATCAAATTTTGCTATAAAGTGACGAAGTTTCATTGTTAAGGTCACCATGAAGTGCACACCTATAACGGTTCACAACCACCGACCCAATCCATTTTTTTATTTTTCTTTTCAGTTTTGGTTTTTTTTGTAATTTTGTTGGGCCCAGCCCATTTTTGTGTTAAAGAAAAAACTGAAAAAAACTAATAATAATAAAAATCTAAAATAATCATAAAATAAAAACAAAAATATAAAAATATAAAATAAAAATGATAAATATGTAGAAATAGGTTTTTTTTTAATTTAAAATAATATATAATTAAAAATATTAAAAAGGTGTATAATTTAGTTTTTTATATAACAAGATTTTTTAATAACCTGAATTTTTCTTTAGATTTTATTAATTTAAACTAATTCTTAATTTAAATAAAATTAGAATATTTTAATCCCTTTTCTAGATTTAATTTTATTAAAAAACTAAATTCATTAAATCTTTATTTAGTTTCCATTAATTAGTTTTTCTCAAAAATAATTAAAAATCAATTTAGAGTTTCCCTTTTAAACAATTCACCATTATCTCCTAAATTAATCATTTCCATAATCAGAATCTAACTGTTTCTCGATATTCATTCAAAATTAACTTCGCTCTGTTTGCTTAATATTATTATTTTGTGCACGTCCAAGGGAAGAACTTGCGCATGACTTCATAAGTTGTGCGTATTGCATCATATCCCCCCGCTTGATCCTTGAGTTTTCAAGTCGATCAGCTTAGGCTTTAGATCCTACACCTTAAGATAGGACCGTTTTCTATTTTATCTTTTCAACTTAGACAAACCATATTCAATTTAATCAGTTATTCCTCCTATAAGAGAATTACACGTGAGTCATCTTGACAGTTGAGATATAATTCTCCTGCCCCATAATATTATTGCGAGATATAGAATCTTTTCCGCTTGAGAGAGGTATGTGGCATACTCCTCGATGAATCCGAGTTTTGAGCCCTTCTCCCAATGCGATGCAAAGACCATCTCATACAAGTTGTGGTGGTTAAGTTGAGTGTTCTCCCTTAAGATGACGGCTCGTCTTTTCTCCTAGAATCAATCAACAAACCTTATCCCCTTGGAACTTTGACCAACAGTTAATGGTTCATCAATCCCTTTTAAGAGAACTACGAATACTCTGATTCCACTCCCGTCAGGATACGTAGACACAAGATGTGATTTCTTGGCGAGTATACTTAGAAATAAACCATTAGGTCTCTTACCCTTAGCAACAATAACACAATAGAACAAGAGGTTCTTGTAGAGTACTACAAATGCTTAGGATGCTAGCACCTTTCCTATGTTTCACCAACCCCGAATCTTTGACTCTCTAGCTTTGCATTTGCATTGCATCTTGTGGGTAATTCGATCTTTTTCCCTTCCCTTGGACAAATTAAAGACCGATGGTGAACAATGAATTAAGATTCAAGTTAATCCAATAATTTTATATCCAATTCTCACCGTGACAGAAATGGCGACTTCACTAGGGATTCTTGAGGGTTTCCCCTAACTTGTTTTATTTTTGCTTGTTTATTGTTATATATATCTGGTTATGCTTATTCTTATGCTTCTAGGTTGATATCCTTGTGTGGTGAGGAATGTCCTACACCCGAACTTGAGTGCACTTATGATAGGAAGGGGATATATTCGACGAGGCTTATAGGAAGTGAGTCCCTACCAAGCTGACTTGAGAATCACCGCTCAATTGAGGCCCTCTTGAAAATGGTATCGTTGAATGAGTATTCGTGAAGACAATCACAATTTTTGACCTAGGAGCTTGTGATACTGGGGACCTTTAGTTACCTTTGACCCCACTTGGCCTTTCTTAGGACGTAGTGCGATGACTATGAGGGAGTATTCCCAAAATAGTTGATACACGATGCTACACCCAAACGAGGTTCTCTTGAGAATATTGTTAACCACCGAGTTATTCGGGAAATTGATAATATCTGAAAGATAGACTAATGACTTTGGGAACTTTTAGAATCCTTGTTCTGCAGGTAAAATCAACCCTTAGTCCACACCCTTTGGGAATGGGTATACCCTTTACCTCCATGCTCGTTGCTTACAAACCTAGGTTTCCTGTTTGTCTATCTTTGTGCATCTGTGTGCTTGCCTGTGTTTGTGCATATTTGCATCCATAAAGCATCCTTCTACATTAGTTTCATGGAATCCCGAGTTTACTTGTAAACATTAAAGAACCAATATGGATTACAAAAAGAAATTTTTTTGAAATATTCTTTCAAGAGTCTTAAATTGGATGACCTAAGGAAGTTAGAAACTCTCATTGAAGACCAAAAGAAGTTCAAGTACAAGAAACTTTTATTATTGAAGATCCAGGCGGACAATGGATTTCTTCCTTACTTTCCAGCAAGAAAAGAAAAAATCTGGAGGATTTATTTTCCTCTATCAGACTACTCTTTGGAATGAAGAAGCTTATATCCGAGAAGGTCCAGCTGGAAGAGCAGATCAAGAAGCACAATACAAGACTTCCTTTGGACTTTTTTAGCTTTTATTTAGCTATTATGTCAGGACTCTTTTAAGAATATTTATTTGTAATCTGTTTTCTTTGGCACTCTATGACGTTTGTAAATACTCTAAATCCATGAAACCTTTCATCTGCATTCTGCACTCTGCTTTTTGCATAACATCCCTCATTTAGCATTTGCATATGCATGTGTCCTCTCCCTATTGTGGCTCATCCGACTTTCTGTCTTCGTCTCGCCAGCTAACATCCTGACCATCTGACCAAGCTCAAAGTATTTACTGAAGGATAATAATGAGAACGAAAGATATGGATCCCATAACTGGTTTCATAGTAGTGACTAATCCGATATTTGATTTTCCCTCTGATGACAATGTTCAACAAGTGGATGTTCATATACAATCTCAGCCCGTGCAAGATAACTTAGTTGTTCAAGTTGATTCCCAGTTTCCACGGTGTATACCAAATCCTCAGAATGTTCATATTGAGATGATCGACTCAAACACCAACTTTGAATTTCATTACGGAGTAATGGGGCATTCGATTGAAGAGTGTAAGGTTTTCCAAGGAAAAGTTCAAGAGATGATCGACGACAAAGTGTTGACCTTCAAAGGAGGAAGCCCAGTCTTAAATGGAACACCGTTGTGTTGATGAATACAAATACTTAATGAAATCCTTTAGCAGGGCTCGTCAGACAGTTCATTTTGTTTGCTTATATGTATTTTATTTCTCTGATTATAAAAGCATAATTGGCATGTAAGAATTTGTTTATTTTGAATGTTAATACAATAAAGTGTTTGTCTTGAAGAAATCCATTCGTGTTCACTCGTAAAATGTTTTTTTTCATGTTTTATAATGCCAACTTTACCCAATCTCTTGCTTTGATAGAGAATTGGGAGGAGGATGACGAAATCAAAAACGCAAGATTTCTTGTCGTATGCTTTTGAGTAAAACCCTGCTGATGATGTACGACATTGTTTTAAATCCCCAAACACTAGAGATATAAGGGAGATAGACCCTCGTTAACCCCTTTGAGCCCTGAAGTAGGATTTTTCTTTTCCTTACATACAAAAACCCTCAATTTTTACCTAGGGCGGGGTAGTTTTCAGTTAAACTGATCGAGCGCCCAGACTCTCAAAAAGGAGGAGTGAGCATTCGAGAATCCATTTTATCCATTCCTCACATATTAGGAGGCTGGAAGTCAAGAAAACCACAATGATTATCCCTCGGCTATCTAAAGAGTGAGGCAGTCACAATCTTTTCAAAAGGGTCAAAATAACTTAGAGTCACACGACTTGTTCATAAATAAATAAAAAATGAAAAAAAGAAAAGTCCACTAAGTCAAAACCTATGAAGGAGACTTAGGCAAAATTGAGGCATCCCGCTGGACTTCAAAGTTAAATTCAAAAGACTTCGTCCAGGAAAAAGTTAGGGAATAAAAATGCGAAAAGCAATGACAAAGGATCACAAAGAAGAATCCTCAACAAAGAATAAAGTCGTGTGATCAAACACCAAAAGAAAAAGGTGAGTGACTACCATGTCCAAAGCCTCGATGAGTTCTCGATCATATCAAAATCCTCTTGAGAGATGAGTGCTCGTATTGAGTTAACTGAATGTAGGATTGGAGAACATCATGAAGAATGAGTGGGTACAAATAAACTTTGAGCCTTATATCCTTTGTTTCTTAAACCGTGAACTAAGCCACAATACAACCTTTAAAAGACCTAATTGAAGCAAGGTTTAATTCGAAAGCATTCTCAATGAGATAACGTTTCCTGACTCCTATGAGCTAAACTCAAAAGTTGTGTTGGCTTTATAAAATTTATTCATATCCTAACTAGTGATTTTGTCACAAGGTATTGTGATATCTCTTTTCAAAACTTCAAGACAAACATGTATGTTGCATTAACAGTTTCAGAATTAACATTTCATGCATGTTAATTTTG